AAGAGGGGCTAGAACTCCTGATTTCTAGGCCAGCACCTTAATCATTATGCCCAAGTGGATCTCCCTATTTAGATTAGCCAGTAGACACAATTGTTACTGTTAAATGTTGGCTTCCTAACTATTCCTAACAGATTTTACAGTTAAAACAACACTTACCTCTCATAGATTGTTTTTAAAGTTAGTTGATCTGGAACACCTTCTGTTTCTTCCAAATACAATATAAGCCAGGATGTTCTGTAAGGCCATTGCTCTGTCAAGTTGATCCAGCTTGCCAGCCTATCCCAGTTGAAAGTGATCTGATTAGCTCTCAATAAACGTCCTATAGAGTTGAAAAAGTTATATGCTTAGCAACACAGTTTACATTCCTACAAAATAATGTCAGCTTAGTACAAAATTTCCTAAGAATAATCACATCTCAGCTTCTAAGTCATTATATGCTCTTCTGAATTAACTGTATTCTAACATACCAAAATCACAGTATTTTAGCACAAATATATGATTGACTGTGAGTATCAATAAGGAATTTTCTTTTACATTACTCATAATCATTAACAATCTAATTATTGAAATTTCATAACAGAGATTTGTCAACCCAACTATATCCTTGAACTATAAATCTAATGGGTTTGTTTAACAATCCAAACATTTTAAAAATGAGGAAATAAATATTTCGCATATTGTTTCTAAAGTTTAATGCACTCTCCAAATGTTGCGTTTTATACCTGGTACTTTTTCATTCAGATCCATGCTTTCACTAATGGAATAATTTCATCGGAAAAGGGAGAAGGTATTCCATTCTGAGCATATACATACCCTCTACTGCAGCCTGATATCCTTCTGAAAGGACAGATGTGCAGAGAGTCCAGAAGAAAGGGACAATTATCTTCCTCTTTCTTTAAATGGAGTGAGCTTTTATTTATTCCATAAATAAACTTTCATTTACAGAAAGGAGTATTTATTATCTAGGTTATTTTCGCAATAATTTAAGAGGCTGTTTGTCC